TGTGTGTGTGTGTGAGAGAGTGTGTGTGTGTGTGTGAGAGAGTGTGTGAGAGAGTGTGTGTGTGTATGTGTGTGCAGACAGGCGTGTGATGTGATCTAAACATTAATGCTTCTTCAGCTCGTCTGATCTTCTCTTCATGTGTCTGTGGCTCCGGGCTGCTCTCGGGTCATGTGACTGCTCTCAGCCAATCACAGCTCTGCATGGATCTGTTGATGTGGCAAATAAGTGGTTTCCTAAAGTCATGCTGCCAGCCAGAGCGGACCACCAGCGCTCAGACAGACCATATATATATATATATATATATATATACATGCTGCTCTCACCGTTTCCAGAAACACGATGCTCTCTGTGGTGTTTCTGTTAGTTTGTTGTGTTTCCGAGAGCTCTGTGTGTTCCAGCAGGTGCTTCTGGGTGTTTTAACTGCTGCTTTAATTCAGTGACGGTCGTCTCAGCTCTTCTGTTTAACCTGCCGCTGTATAATCCTGCAGGATGATGTGTTTTTGCAGCCGAAACCCAGACACGAGCTGCATTTGAACACTTCCGGCTCCGTCGTCCTCAAGTCAAGGATTTAAGGATTTTCTTTTTCCTAAAAATGCTAGTTAATGTTTTCACGCTGGATTTATTCACAGGATAGACAACTTACCAAAACATTTCTGTACTTTTTTGGCCACACTTGTGGTGCTTCCAGTCAAAATGATTGGCCTACAATTTAGTTTTTATAAATGTCTTGTTATATATTATCACACAAGAGTGTAGGTTTGATTGTGGCATTGATGAGGAATAACAGCAGATTACAGACATCTAATTGATTGATCAAAATGATTGCTAGAGATGATTGATCAGTGTCTGATATTGTTAGGATCAGCGACTCTAAACGAAACTCTACAGCCGTGGAGATCATAAGAAGCGACGTCTGACTTTAGAAACTAGTTCTCTCCTTAAATATGAAGAGAGCAAACTAGAGATTCACGAGTTACTCCAAACCTGACCAAAAGCTTCTGGACGTGCTTCTACTAGAAGTCAGACACTGAAGAGAGAGGCTGTTTGGTCTCTTCTGAGGAAGCTTCACAGAGAAACTGATCAGATCTGATCTCTAAAGCTGGAAGCTGCAGCTCTATTCATCTGTGTGTTCTCTTCAGGTGACAAAAGCATGGTTACTACACTTTTACTATAATAAAAAGATCATTTCTTTCTTGTTACTGTACTGTCTTAATGGTTAGATGTTTTCTACTGTTTAATAAAAACGAAATCGCTTCGAAACAGAGAATCATTTAGCGGTGCAATGGTTTAATTAACTGATTCAGAGTTTTATTACAAGCGATGTCGAAAATGAATGGCTCTTTTGCACAGTTTTTTTGCTAGTGAACCGAATGATCGAGTCACGAGTTCGAATCATTCGGAGCGGTTCCAGTGTAAATGACTCACTCGATTGAATCGGTTCGTCTGATCTGGTCTTCAGTCATGTTTACACGACACCGTCAGCTCCAGAGATTAATCACATTAACTGAAATAAGCCAAAGAAGAGTGATGTTTACAAATAAAATAGCCATATTTCACATCCAACACAAATTTAGAACATATTCAGACCTAAACACATGTTAGATGGAAACACTGCTTTATGATGGAGTTTGTAGCTTAAGTGACTATATTTGAAATGGTTTGACGCTGCAGTTCAGTTGCTGACAGCTCAATAGAAATCAGCTGAACGCATCCAGTGAATCTTCAGTTTATCAGGATAAATATGTGAGAAATTCTCTGAATATTGATAGAGACATGCCATAGCGTCCCTACTCAATTCTACACACTTGTTATCACCAAATATTGGATTGAATCTTTTGTCAGCTTGTTTTTGTTCAGTTTGCACAGGTGTTGAGTTTCGTGTTGGAATTGATTGATTGATTGATTGTACACATTTACTCTTTATCAGTTCTTGCTTTCCCTGGTAATCAAACCCACAACCCTAGAGTTGCAAGCGCCATCCTTTCCTCTCTAAACTACAGGAAAGCGCAGGAAACATGGATGTTTTTGTGCTGTCTGGGTTTTTTCACTGATACTCAGACGCTGATGTGTTTCAGATTCTAGACCAGAATACACCCGGGCCTCGTTCCGCTGTGTTTTCATGCTGATATATGGACGGGAAACACAAGCATCAGCGGTTTTAGCTCAGCTTTGAGAACAGGGAGATCTGTGTGTGAACGTCTGCTGACCACAAACCCAGCAGAACGTCCCAGAGTGTTTCCAGAGAGTTTATTTACTTACCATCTACTGCTCGCTGACCATGCTATATATAAGCAAAGAAGGCTGTAAAAATAAATCTCCATTGTTTATCCTATTGATCTTTCATACAAAACATTCACAAAAATCTAACCTTTCATTGAGATAGAACAGTTGAAAGTGGAGTTAAATTTCTTTAGAAAATAAATGATTTTTGTGAGTTTTTTACCAAGGGGCCCAATAATTCTGAGCACAGCTGTATGTGACTGACACACACAAACAAGCTCTGGCGCTCATGCGAAGCCTGTTTATTTAGTCCAATCCTATTTATTGGCTCATTTGTGTCGTTTCAGGAAACTGTGGGACTCAAAGTTGGAGGATCCAGCCACAAGGTACGGCTTCATGTGCTGTTTGTCGTCAGTGCTGTGTGTAAGAACGGACTCTCAGAGTGATGTGTGTGTGTCTGCAGGTCTGCGGTCAGTAAGAAGGCGTTCTGGGTCGAGCGGGTTCAGTGTTTGGGTACAGAGGTGTCTCTGGCGCAGTGTCGGGCGCAGCTCTCTGTCCCGCGGCACGACGTCCCCTGCGCCGGAGCGATGCACGCGGTGGTGCGCTGCGTTCCCGGCGCTCAGTTCTCCAGAAGCTCCGCCTCCAGACACCTGCAGGCTCCGCCCCCTCTGAACGTGAGTGCCGCACACAGTCCAGCTCCAGCTGTGAGCACTGGCTCCGGGGACGCGGCTCATGTGTCTGTGTGTTCCCGCAGGCGGAGGTGCGTCTGAAGGCCGGAGCGCGGCTGGGCGAGGGCCGGGTGGAGGTGCTCCGCGAGGGTAAGTGGGGGACCGTGTGTGACCATCTGTGGGATCTAACAGCGGCCAGCGTGGTGTGCAGAGAGCTGGGCTTCGGCTCGGCCAGAGAGGCCCCGCGAGGAGCGCTCATGGGTCAAGGTAATGACTCCTCACCATGGTAAAAGATTCAGAGCGGATACGAGCCGCTGGTTTCAATGCTATTTCCTCTTTCCCAGTGGCTGATGGGTCAGGGTTTGAGTTTCTCAGCCAGTCTAAACAGAACACATGACACACTCACACAGACGCAGTTCAGACGCTGCGATGGGAATGTTTAGTTCAGTCTCCGTGCTCCTGTGGGAACACTGCCGTTTGGGCTGCACGGTTTTGGGACCAAATCTACTCGCAATTTTTCCTTAAAAAAAAGTGAATATATATATATATATATATTAAATAATAAAAAAATATTATATTAAACAAAATAGTAATTATTCCTAAACCTAACTCCCTGCACAATTTGGCCAAATTTTTTTGATTATATATCAGTATGACTAATAATAATAATATTATTATTTCATTAAAAAATATATGTTTATTGCTATTATTATTACATTTAAAAAATACAACACAAATAAATAAATATTCCTAATAATTTTGGCACAATTTGACCCCAAAAAATTTTATTATTATTA